ATCCTAGGGTAATCTCCGACCTACTCTTCGTCATCAGCTGCATAAGAAATTCCTGTTATCTCTCCCTAACTAGCTCGTGAATACCATTACATATGACTAAGACGAGATAATTCTTTGAATGAGAGGTCCTACCCTACAACAGTTAGACTCAGACGAGAGCTACGAAATAGGGTTAGACCTAACCTTCTGAAATTATTTAGTCCGCGTAATATGTAACTTAACGTATTCGTTTACTAGTTAATTAAGGATAACTACAACCCCTAAAAGCACAAAGCCAGCAGCATTCGGTCTTTGAGTAACCAAACCAAGCATATCCTATTCGGGCCATCATATCACCGACTAATCAGTTCTAGCGTGTAACTCATTAAGCACATATACATGTACATAAGGAATCTTCCTAGATCCTTAGTCCTAATCTAGCATGCAGTTCTCATACACATACAATAGGCATAGAAGGCATCCTTCCTAGATCCTTAGCCCTAATCTGGCATGCGGTTCTCATAATCATATCATATATCATAACAAACATGTATGGGTATCTTGGGGAAAACTTATTTGAGTTCGGCCGATTGCACGCATCACACACCTTGTTCTTTCTCAAAACTCTTTATTTTACATTTTAGAAAAGCTATTTTCTTGAAAAATCTTTCAAACCCTTGATTTGAGTCCAGACACCACCGAAGGTGTGTCCGAATCCCTCAAACCAAGGCTCTGATACCAACTTGTAACATCCAAAAATTCAATACCAAAAATTTCATTTTTGATTTAACGATTCATAAAACAATTTATAGAAAACAACATCAAGTTATCTTATTTCATAAAAACCATAGATCACATCTCTCAAAAGCATGTCATCAGATAGTAATAATGTCAAAGTACAAATCCCAAGAATCTCATATGCGGAAAATCGTGTGTGTGATGCGCTGATACCGTGCCGACTTCTTTCCCTTCGAAGAAGAAGGACCTGAAACAAAAACTGAAATCCGTAAGCATAAAGCTTAGTGAGTTCCCCCATCATACCATATACCATACATAAGACATACTGTCTAACATATCTGCGTACTAGCTACCCCTTCGGTCTCTTTCAACTGGTAACTTGCCTAGCATATCAGGGTGTTGGCCTAACCCTTAGGTAATGTCGACCGGTAACTTGCCTAGCATATCACGGTGCTGGCCAACCCCTTCGGTCCTATCGAACGGTACCTAGCCTAGCATATCAGGGTGCTGGCCTACCCCTTCGGTCCTTTCGACCGGTACCGGGGACTATTTCACCCCCTACTTCTACCACATAGCATCCTAGTGCATAAACATATAAGTTATATACTGCCTAGCTTATCCGGGTGCTGGCATACCCCTTCAGCCCTATCGACCGATACTGGGGTCTATCCTACCCCTCCTACCACTATCACATAACATCATAGCATAACAGATAGTGACATACCAGATAATTATCACAAAGACAATCATCTTTACTGTAACTCTTACTAGTGGGCCGACATTGGTGCCTTAGACCCACTTCTACTGGAAGGTAACTCACCTCAATGTCGTGCAATAGCTGAAATGTCCTCGGCTCTGAGATTAACTCCTCTCAAACTCCAACACATGACAATCTCTTTTAATTACTCTTTCATACTCATAGCCCCTTTAAGGGTCAACTCTGGTCAATAGTCAAAGTCAAAGTCAATATCCCGGTTGACTCAACTAGCCGAGTTGGTCCATCAACTCATCGAGTTCCATAATCCATAAAACCATGAAATCTCGATCCTAGTCGTCGAGTCCTTTCATGAACTCGTCGAGTTCATCTTCATAGCATAGTCGGGACCTTTTACCCACAACTCGTCGAGTCCCTCCTTGAACTCGTCGAGTTCCTCAATCTTCATAACCCAAACCATGGCCAACTCGCTAAGTCACCTTCTAGACTCAACGAGTTCGCTCATTAACAGAAAAGGTTGGGGAACCACGACCCAACTCACCGAGTTGTATGAACAACTCGTTGAGTACCCCATAGTCTAATTCTATGCAGTCGTTTCCAGTCGGGTTCTAAGCTTCCAAACCATAGATCTGGTTCCCTAGGGTCGATATATCACGTAAAGTTTCTAACTTTACGTCCATGCATGGGTTATTAGCTAAAAAATCCCAAAAAAATGGTTCACAAGTTGCATGGGACTCCCATGGCCATAGAGTTGGCACCTTTATGCCATGGAGTCCCTCAAAGGTTCCAGATCTGAAGTCATGACTCTAAAACATGCTTACATCCATGAATGGTTCCAAAATATGCTCCTTAAAGCCCTGAACTATTTCATGAAGAGATCTAGTAAATGAATAGTCAAGGTATAGACTTTATACCTCAGTAAGGCTGCTTTGACAACAAAATCTCTGGATCTAAAGCTTCCTCCTTCAACCAAGCATTTCAAGCTTCCACTCCTTCAAGGAAATACCAAATAATCACTCTCTTTTCACTAACTCACGCTCAAAAGGCTCTTGATCACGAATTAGGGTTTTGCTGGACTGAAGGAGGCGATGAGGGAGGCCACAATGAAGAGTTAAGGTGCTTAAATAGGGTGCAAGCCTTGAAAATTAGGGTTTCACTCTGGCAACTCTACTCGTCGAGTTGAGGCTCTCAACTCGTCGAGTACACTTCAAGTCCCGCGTCTAAACATCCCATTCCTACTCGACGAGTTTGGGGCCTCCAACTCGTCGAGTCCTTTTGAAAAAATTAATAATTCTTATTAAAATACATAGCAGGAACTGGGCATTACACGATGATATATTGATTACTGGTTCATCTACTATAGAAATTAAGGCAATCAATAATCAATTAAGCAACAAATTCAAGTTAAAAGATCTTCTTTCACTTGGTTACTTTCTAGGTTTAGAGATTGCTAGATCCAAAGGAGGAATATTTTTTCACAAAGAAACTATGCATTACAGTTAATTGAAGATGCAAGCTTGTTAGTTGCAAAGCCATTACATACGCCTATGGATCCTCGAACTAATTTGAGAGATGATCTCGGGGACATTATTGAAGATCCTTCTCAATACAGGAATATGGTTGGCAGACTATTATATCTCAATATCACAAGGCCTAACATATCATATGCAATTCAAAAATTGTCCCAATTTATGTATAAACCAAGGATGCCACATCTTCAAATTGCATGTCATTTGATCAAATATATTAAATCCAATCCGGGACAAGGCATATTCTTGTCTGCAAAATCAAACTTCAATCTCAAGGCATTTCTTGATTCAGATTAGGCGAGATGTGAGACTTCAAGACGAATAAATGTCATCTTGGGCATACCAACGCTCAAGATGGTAGTGCAGAATAGATATTATGTAATGCCATCTTGGACATATTATTAGATTGAAAGTATCGCTGGACATATTATTATGGGCATTTATTCTCAGATTGAAAGTATCGCTGGACATATTATTATGGGCATACCAACGCTCACTGGGACATGAACGGTTAAAGTTAAACAAATGTGTTTTTATTGGATTGGTTTTTGGGTATAATTGTATTTTGATTGCTTTAAGGTTATTTGTGCATTTGTTTCTAATGTAAGATTATGAGGGCTTACTGTTTGTAGATGTTCTTCATATCCTCTTCCACCTTGGCTTTAAAGTTGTCGACTTCTTTTTAATGTTGTGAAGCCTGTAGGTGTTGACAGGAGGCGGATTTACAACGTCGTCAATATATTAAATCGAGTAACCATGGATATCGATTCATTGCACCTAATTTACGAATTTACTTCATAAATTTTTAAGAGATAGTATTTGAACTCTGATATATAGTATACTGAAGATTACATAAAATGAGGATTCGATGTGTTTAGGAAACATTGCATGCCTCTCGGCTACAATAAGGGTCCTAAAATGCTGCATGACAGCCTGCTGTTCTGGAATTGTATCGGTAGTGTACCAGAATGTGGTGTACCGGAATCATAAAATATCGATAATGGATTTTGGTGAAATTAGAGATGCTAGAACATTGAACACGAAATAATTCAGTGAAGCAATTTACAACATTAAGTATTTGAGGAGGAGAAGAGGGATGCTGCTTACATACCTCCAGAAGTTTATTTGACATAGTGTTTCAACCTAATCAGTTGCACTACTTTGTTTTTTTGGTCAAAATGTTGTTATTAAAGCCTCACAAGTATCAGCTTTCTGCAAATCACTGCTCCATCTATACTCATCACATTTTTAATACTATGAATTATTGGAATTGATTATAATCAATAACATGTTTTACAACCGAACAATTTCTAACCCTCACAAAGCGGGACCAGCGGGGATCCTTCCCTAGTTTTTCTTAATTTTTATTTTTATTTTTTTATGTTCTTTAAATTTAGTTTTATCTAGAAATAAATTGATAGTTTCTTTTATAAGTTTTTAGATTTTTTTAGAAATTTTGTATTTTTATTTTTTTACATGTTCTTTTTAGTATTTTTTTTTTCAATGTTTTTAGATTAAAATTATTTAAATTTCATTGTTGAGAACTATTTTTAGTTTGTAAAATCAGTTTATTTAAATTTCAGTTTATAATACAAGCAAATGTTTGATCCACCTATTTTTACTACAAATATGGTTGCAGACTCCAAAAATTTCCGTTTAAAAAAAATAACAGTTAATTATTTATTCGCATCTAGTTGTAGTTGAAAATCTAATGTCAACTTTACGATTTTTTCTAGTCAATGGCGGCTCAATGGTTCCTCAATCATTTGTGGCTCATTTGACTTGCTTAATGCAAGTTACCATCATACTTATTGCCATCCGCAATTAATGTTGACCTACATTTTGTTTTATAAGGAATTATTAGTTCTGATGATGCCTTAAAAACATGGTTGAAATTTTGCACAAGATGTTTAATTATATTTTTCTGTATAATATCCACTTACATATAGTGCTTATAACGTACTAGTTAACATAGATCCTTGAACGAAAAAGTAATTGTATATCACATATAAATTAATAATACAAAGCTCCAATCTCTTTTAATCATCTTCCTTAACATGTAGCAGCAAATCCACAACCTGGCTCATAGTTGGTCTTGCATCTTCATCTTCCTCTGAACACTGTAACGCTAGCATAATCATAATTTCCATTCTACGCATGTTGTATTCGCCATTGACATTAGGATCTACAACTTCTGCAATCCAGTCATTCTTTCCACCAGCTGCTATTATCTTTTCCTTCACCCAGCTCGCAAGCTTTCTCTCAGATTGCCCACTTAGATCACATCCTTGGCTACTACCTGTTATCATCTCCAACATCACAACACCATAGCTATATACATCAACTTTTGAGGTTATTGGACGATTGACAAACAACCATTCTGGAGCCATGTAACCTCTTGTCCCTCTTGCTTTCTTAAACTCTGAATTACACGTTCCATCTCTTTCCAATAACTTAGACAACCCAAAATCTGCCACCTTTGGTTTGAAATCACTATCGAGCAATATATTATGAGGCTTAACATCACAATGTAAAACCCACTCCAAGCATTCTTCATGTAGATAAGCTAAGCCTTTTGCAGAGCCTATTGCAACGTCAAACCTCTTACTCCAATCTAGTTTCTTGGAATGTAAATTTTGAGCCAATGATCCATTCTCCATGTACTCATAAACCAACAATCTGTGATTTTTCTCAGCGCAGTATCCCCACATCTCAATCAAATTCATGTGGTTTAGCTTCCCAAGGGTACTTATCTCTGCTAGAAGTTCGGCTTCAGCTTGGTTGTTGCTAATTTGTTTAAGATGTTTTATTGCTGCAACTCGATTGTCTGACAATACTCCTTTGTACACAATTCCACCACCTCCTCTCCCTATCTCTTTGCTGAAATTTTTAGTGGCCTTCTTCAATTCTTGATAGCTGAATCTCTTAAATCCTGTAGCAGCTTGGAGGTAACCTTGTGATTTGTTGTATGGATTTCGGGTTTTATAAAAGAAGTACATAATGCATATGATCTCCAGTGCACCAAATACATATGTAAATATCCTCAGGGATTTGATGGAATCTTCATTTGGGTTCTTATCATAAGCTCTCGGAAGTTGGATTGTAGGTTTCTCACTGCAGTTTAAGCTGAATCGCTGAACAACGTTATTGTTAAATGAAGATAGTGGTAGAGTTTTTGGTAGCTTCAGATACATGGAACCATTAAAATTCACTGAAGAGAATCCATTCACCAACTTAAACTTTGCGTAACAAAGAAAAATGGCTTTGGTTTTATCGTACTTGAACTGGAACCCTTTGCAATTGCAGATGTTTAAGCATTGTTGCTTACACCCATCTAGTGTTATATTCGGCATGTATTTAGCATCATAGCCATAAAAATCGGTATGAGGAAGTTCTAGGAAATTATCCTCACCATTGCTGCATAATGTTGGCTTGAATTCTGGTTCACAACCATATGAACAATCTGTGTGATTGATCATTTTGTGATTTGGTAAACAGGAGCACTTCCTACCATGTGTAGGATTGTTAGAACATGTACTATTTTCTCCACAACTTCCATGAATTCTGCAACTTTCAGACATAGCTTGCCATGTAACTTGCCAAACTCCTCTGATCTCATCGAGACTGTAGGCACGGAAGTTACCATCAACATCCATAGTCAATCTTCTTAATGGCTGAATTCCAGCATCCGATGTATTGAAGAAAAGACTATCACTTGAGATGAAACGACCAGAGAAATCAAGGGTTGCTATCCTTCGGCTACCATAAGTGGACCTTCCAGATTCCCATGCACGTAGCTCAGGAGATGGCCAATAAACGCCTGCAACTTTAGGTCCATTATACACAAGTCTAATGACATTATCGTTGTCAAAAAAGAGCTTGTAGAACCCCGAAGAGTAGTTTGTTAAACTTCTTGAAGATACAAGTGGTGTATCTTTTGTTAGCTGTTGATCGGGAAGAAGGGTATCTGTTGGAGAGCTAAAGCTTTGCCAAATAATTTGATTATCTTGATTTTGAAGATAAAGATTTCCTGAATTATTCATTTTCAACTGTGCAGATTCTGTTGAATCTCTTATAGTTGTGGTCCATATTGGCAACGGTTGATCTGCATCTATTAGAACCAGATTTCCACTTTTTAGCAGGGAAAGCTTTGAACGTTTTCCATTAACAGGTACATCTCGATTAGCCATCCAAACAATGGTATGACTTCCATCTGCGAGTGGTTTCGTAAACCATACTGAAAAACAATATGCATTCTCTCCAATACTGTAAAATCCGGCTGTATAAAGGCCGTTAGGTGAGATCAATATGTCATTTTTGTTCTCCACTGAGAGAGATGAACCAGGGTTTAATACCAGTGGTGGTGATGGAGAAGTTGGAGAGGGAGATATCAATGGTGTCTGAGTTAGTAACACAAAAGCAAGCACTTGGAAATGAAAAGCTGCAGCCATTGAGGGCGAGCATGAATCCAGGTGTCGATGCTCTTATAATCAATTAATCTGTATTCACATAAAGTCTACGGTCCACGCTATAATGCTAAACATGAATTTATAATATTCAATTCAATATTTGAGGGGGTGTTGTCGGAAACACTCCACTCTAATCTAATACATTTTAATCTATTTTCTAATCATTTGACTAATTTTTATTTATTATCTTATTACAATATAATCATTTTAATAGCTTTATTTTTCAAATTATTATTTATTACTTTCAAATAATAATTTTTATTAATCTTAATTATTATTTAAACAATAGTTTATAAATAAATAGTAACAAATATGACTTTTTTCTTTGTCATATTTCTTTTGCACTAACATTTTTTTAGTTTTTAAGTTTACATATGTTAATACAATTATTTAAAAAAAATTGTTATAATTCCTAAAAAATCATATATAAGTAGTTGTACCCCATATAAGCATCCTAATTTAATTTTGAAACATTTTACCATATAAGGAAACATTTTACCATATAAGCATCCTAATTTAATTTTGAAATATTTTTATTGGTTGAAATTATATTATTTTTCGAAAAAACTGATTGTAAGTAGTTAACTATAGGTTGACTTTTTAAAATATGGTCAATGGAGCCCAAAATATAAATCAAATACATTTATGACATCACGAGAGAGAAATGGTTACAGAGGAAAGAAAAAAACATAAATCATTAAGTAATCTTGAAATTTTAAAATTTTTTGATTCTATAGCCTGCAGTGTAATATGATGGAGTGTAATAGGATGAAGTGTATAAATAAAAAACCATGTAAATGGAATAGAAGGGGATGACAAGATTAGATGTGTTGTCCGCGAAAAGAAACGACGATAAATAACTTTTTTTGTGAATAGTCTTGTTACGGTATTAATATGTAATAAAAAATTTACTACTTTTCAATAAATTATGTGTTTATACCTTATATTTATATTGATTTTTTATACATTTGATGTAAGTTAATTATTATTTGTGTCTAGTTTAAAAATATAAATTAATTTATATACATGAACTTAATATTTTAAAATTTTCATTTTGTTCAAATTTAAATTTCTTAATAACCTTTTTTAATTCAAGTCTTCAAACTTTTGTCAAGTATTAATGATTTATTTATGCATAACTTATTTGTATAAAAATTTTTATATCTTATACCCATTAAAATTCAAAATATAATTAATATGTTTTGTAATATACTATACGATATATATATATATATATATATATATATATATATATATATATATATAGTAAGGTTCAATAAAAAATCATTATTAACAAGAAACAAAAGAACCAATCATTAGTGTAAAAAATCATAATAATCAATGACCAAGGGTATGAACGTAATGCTTCTAAATTGAACGTACATACTCCGAATTTTACAATAAACCGATCCTTTTACCAAAAAAACCTACCTCTTTTTTTCATTTAATTTTTTTAAGCTACGTTTTTTATCAAAAAAAAAATGAATATACTATTGCTCACGATTTTTCGTCTTTTTTCCATAGAGATCCATGTGGATATAAAAATAATAATAATAATAATAAAATAAAAAAAACTTTTTCGTAAAAAACCCATTTTATTTTGTAGTTTTTATTCAATATTTAAGTTTATTTAAAAAAAAACTAATTACATCAAAATTTTGAATTTCTTGTCCTATATTAATAAACATCAACAGTAATTAAAAAAACTCGATCAATTTAGATTCATAATGATACTCTAAACTGTAAATATTTCAATTTTAACATTCACAATGTAAATCTGACTTACTATTTCAACTTTTTGATCGGTCACAAATTAACTAAAATTTACATATAAATCGAATAATATTTCTATGTAGTTTTATAATATTTAAACGTTTTGATTACTCGTAAATTAGTTTTATAAAATCAACAAATTGATTTATTCACATTATAAATCTGAACTGTATATAATTTAGTTTTCAGAATTCACAATGTGAATCTGACTTACTATTATTTATAGTATGAATCTGAGCATATTCACAATGTCAATTAGAGCAGATTCACAATGTGAATCTCAACTGAAATTTTGATTTTTTTTAAACATAAATATGAATATATATTTAAAGAGTACCAAAAAATATTAATTTTGTTATAATCCGGTATATTCGGGTTTTTTTGATAAAAAACATGACCTAAAAAAGTTAAACTAAAAAAATGAGTTTTGTAATAATCTGGTGCATGTGCATCCATTCTAAAAGTCTACTACCTTTATTTTTGCCGTAGATCGCTTTAAATTCCGACGATTTAGATTGATTCTTTGGTTCACAAGGATTTCGTACATATAAAGAACGCTGAAATCCGACTGAAAACGAACAAGTTATAACCCGTCGAAGTTTTGTCGTATATCGTAAAAAGTGAATCTTTGATAAAATATTTTTTTGCCTTAGAAATCTAAACGAAAGTCGTAGTATATGTTAAACTGAGAATATACATCAAAAGAACGTCCAAATCTGACTTGGTCTGAGAAAGTTATGATTTTTCTAAGATTTAGCATAATAGTGCACAGCCCGGAAATCGAATTTTAGATCGATTGATTTTTAGCCAACAAAACTTAAATGAGAATTGTAGATCTCGTTAATAGGAGCTCAATGATATACAGTCCAAATCGGACATCGGATGATAAAGTTATGAATTTTTAATGGATTTTAACCTTCTAAGTCTGTTAAAATATAACTTGAAAAATAAAGTCAAAAGTAGTTGATGGAGTCTAAATGAAAGTTGTAGTTCCCGTCGATCCTATGCGTGGATGTATAGAACGTCAGAAACGGAGCTCATATGAGAAAGTTATGGATTTTAGAAGATAATTAGTTTTTGGAGTGATCTGCAAGTGATATGTGGCGCGATCTGAGCCACTGCTTCCTCCCCACGCCTTGACACCAGACGGTGACACATGACATTAGTACACCCAACATACCCATCTAGTATGCCCAGCGTACAGCCTTCAGACAGGCTATCAATACAGGCTTAAATCACTTATTTTTTTCTCACATCTTTCTTACACTTCTCTCCCAAATAACCACAAACCGTCTTTCCCTTTCCCTAGTACTTCTTAAGTGCTAGAAGCGAGTCCCGGAGCGCCAGAAGGCTTCGACAAAAAGAGCTTTCGGCTAAGAAGTTCTGCCTGCGCAGAGCCCGGTTCATCGCTAGACCCCCTTGTTTCGTCGAAGGAAAAGACGATTGTTATAAGCGAAGCGATCCCCGAATTTCGAGTCATCACTTTAACAAGTGAGTGCATAGTTACTTTCATCTTAAACATAGATATGAAGTATCCAGATATTTACATGTTTATGTGCTTATTATCTATGCCATGAATATTATGTGTTAGATGAGATATTATGTGATGATATTTAACGGATTTAATCTTATAAGTATAATATACTTTACAAATATGTATTGGGTAGCGATGGGTGATGAGAGATACGTGATGATAGGAAGGTGATGATAACTAGGTGATGATAGATATCCAATGATGAATAGGTGATGCGAGATAAGAGATGATTAGGTGATCTACCAGAGTATAGATAGCGACCACTGACCTGCGATGTTGCGATGTTTCGATATAGTCATCTACTAGAGTATAGATGACGACCACTGACTAATCTCAACAAGTCATGTGGAAACAGCGACAGGCTCATAACCTGTAGGTGATGAATTACGAGTTCAGGCGATGTAATAACTACGTATTCATGTGATGATACCCTAACCCTTACTGGACACGTATAGGGGGAGTAATCCCTAAATCTGTACAGTCTATACGATATAGGCGATGATCCTTAGGAAAAGTCCTTAGGAACAAACGTATAAGGAAACAGGATATTGAGAGGTAAATACGATGTAGGAGATGACCCTTAGGATAAATCCTTAAGTAAGATTAAATAAAGAAAATGGGGATGGGTAATCGGGATAATTGTTTGACATGAAATATGTGTAGAAACAAATTGACTATATTATTGTGGGATTAAAACCCTATATACTCACCAGGTTTCCCACCCTGCTGTAACGCCTGTGTTTCTGGGCTCGTCATTAATGATGATGTGATAGTCTAGGTTAACCTTTGTAACCCGTCTTGAAACAATAAAGATGTATTATTTGAGTATTATGTGTTTTGTGCTTAATTGTGTGACTTAAATGAATTAAGGATAAAAATAAGCGTCAAAATGAAATGTTAGATAGAACTAATATCGATACATGAAGACGTAGTGGTCGTGACGAGGTTTCCGAATATATAAAGAATGCCGAAATCCGAGTTATAACGAAGAAGTTATGACCTGTCGAAGTTTCGCGACAGAACCGACACGACGCTGAATGACGTAAAATATGAATTTAAGATAGAGCGAGATCTAGCCTTAGTCATCTAAACGAAAGTCGTAGAATACGTTAAACCGAGAGCGTGCATAAAAAGAACGTCTAAATCTGACTTCGTATGAGGAAGTTATGATTTTTCTAAGTTTCAGCTTAGCAGTGTACAGCCCGAAGTTCGAATATGAGATCGAGCGATATTTAGCCGAAACAATCTAAATGAGAATCGAAGATCTCGTCAATATTAGTGCAACGGTAAAAGGACAGACGAAAACGGACGTCGGATGAAGAAGTTATGGATTTATAACGGAGTTTTCCTGTCCCGGCCTACTAAAAATAATATAATAAAAATAAATCACAATTAGCCAACAGAGTCTAAACGAAAGTTGTAGAGCATAATCTCACCTACGCGTGGATATAAAGAACGTCGAAAACGGAGTTCGTATGCGAAAGATATGAATTTCTGAAGTTCGGAACACATTATTCGAGGTTGTGTCAGAACTCACGAGGTGAGCACAGTGCTCACGACGTGAGAACAGACTGGACGTCCTCCAGAGCAAGTGGACGAATGACGAACGCAGTGACCTACTGTGCTCACGACGTGAACACTTAAAACTCACGACGTGAGTACAGAATGTTGGCCC